TATAATAATATAACAGTATAATTAGTATGATCGACATACAAACTGTTGAATATTTATAAAATTTATTTTTTAAGGCAATATATATTATAATATTGTATATGTGTGCATATATATATAATATATATGTTATATATATAATATATATATGTTATATATATATATATATATATATTTATATATATATATATATATATATATATATATATATATATATATATGTATTAAAAAGTATATATAGGTATGTATATATATTTAATATATATTATATATATATACAATATATAGAAAGAGTAAGGTCTAAAGGTTGGCATTTAGGAGTAAGACCAAAAAAGTAAAGCTGACATTTGTAGACTACCAACTTAAAATCAAAATTTACAAACTCCAGTGTCCAAATTTGCCTACTAATTTTTGAATAAATTTTATTATACTCCACTTCCCTAAAAACAGCCCTGCATACACACACACACACACACACACACACACACACACACACACACACACACACACACACACACACACACACACAAACATACATACATACATACATACATACATACATACATACATACATACATACATACATACATACATACATACATACATACATACATACATACATACATACATACATACATACATACATACATACATACATACATACATACATACATACATACATACATTATAAGTTATAAAATATTATTAATAACTTATAATAATATAAGTTAATATTAGTCTCAGTTTTTTTGTGCTTATATATAAGAATAAATAACTGACGCTTTAACCTTTAATTCTTTAATTTGGCAGATCCAGGGGGTAAAAAGTGTGTATATTGTCATTATTATTATTTTTATTTTATTATTTTTTCTTTCTAAAAAAGAATACTGGAACCGTAAGATCATTTCGCACAGTGGGTTGTTTTTAGTACCAATTTTTGAATTTTTTTTTTTAATAATTGTTATATTTAAGATGTGCAATGCATTAATAATTTTCACAAAATTTCAATGAAAAATGTATAACATATAAGTATAACCAGTATAAATATAAAATGTATTTATTGATAAGGCAACTGATATCATTATAAATACCAAAAACAAAGTTTTGTCATGAAATAACTTTTTTATATTTAAAAAATTTCGATATTATAACATTATAGAAAAATTTTGTAGGTAATATTTGTGATAAATAATAGTAAAGGTTACCAGCAATAACTGCCTGCTACTGATCAGTGACGGCTCCAGGAATTTGTGGGGAGAGGGGGGATGTTGAAATACTTTTGTATTTTGTACCACATTTGCGTCTCTCAACGAAAAAAGTCCTTCATTTCTAAGATATTTTAAGACTTTTAGATTCTGGTGGAAGGGGGGAGGGAAGGATACCCCCATTCCCCACCCCCTCCCTTTATGGATCCGTCACTGTTACTGATGCAAAAACTAAGGATTACACTTACATTAAAATCGAAAGAAAAAAACAATATTAATTCAAACAATATTTAAATGATTCTCATAAAACTCAATATTTAAATGATTCTCATGAAACTCAATATTTAAATAATTCTCATGAAATTCAGTAAAATTAAATGATTTAAATGATTCTCATGAAACTCAGTAAAATTAATTTTAAACAAGCGTAAGAAAGTTGATAATTAAAACATGCAGAATAGTTTGAAACACTTGTCAAATTGTGTCAAAAACCGCTTAAAAGGATGTTTTAATTGATATTTAATGTTTATTTAAATAAACATTTCCTATAATAAACATGTCATCATCATTATGATGGCATATGTATTTGAGGAAATATAATTCACAAATTTTCAGTTTGCAATGTTGACAATGTTTTTTGGGGTATTTTGTCGCACCCACTGTGTTTTGTCGAGAACGGCTGCATTATTTAGAAATTGTGTCAACAAAATTTGTCGATGAACATATTAAAAATATATTTAAAAATTTCGTTCAAGTTATTATGATCGAAGTGATTATAATATTCACTGATGATAGTAAGTACTGAAATATACTTTTTAAAGGAAGTAAAAAGTATGTAACTTATCAAATATGTAAATATTCCGAGGCTGTTCTCAAAGAATAATTCAGGTAGCGGTTCCCCTGTAATGCACAATTGCCCCGTCATAGAAAGAAAAGCTCCGAAAATATTTTGTGCGACCAAAATTAAAATCTTATGTAGTATAATAATTAAAATAACAATTTATTTGTTTTTTTCAGCGTTAAAATTATGATTAATTGTGTGAAAATGTTTCGGTTTTCACTGGTCTTCTGGGATTGTATGAGATGTTCTTAAACTCACTTTGAGTGAATGATAATTTATATATTTGATAATGATAAATTATATATTTGATAGTATTACTATATATCGTCTGTATACAAGGGAAATGCGCTATATCCAAAAACACCATTTTAAGATAATGAACAAATAAGTTTTTGCGTAATAGTTAAAATAATAAGTTTTTGTGTAATAGTTGAAACAAAAAAATTCTAATAACTCGTTAATAATTGATTTACTAAAGGAGTATGTCCAACTTACATGAAATTTTGGCCCTTTTTTTTTTTTTGTTTAAAAATCATAATTAAGCTCAAGGATGTTAGAAAACTATTTTTTACAACGTGAAAATAATTTTGAGCCCCCTTCCCCCTCTTCGCCCCTCCCCCAATTTTTTTTTTTTTCTCCTTTAAAACTCATAATTACGCTCAAGGATATTAGAAAAGTACTTTTTATAACTTAAAATTAATTTTAACCCACCCTCCCCCCTCAAAAAAAATAATATTTAAGGCAATTTTTTATTTAAAAAAAAATTGAAAAAAAGACTTAACTTTTCAATACGCACTTGTGGCTAATAGAATCGATATGGTATGGTTAAATTCCACATTTTAAAACGATATAAAAGGAATTAGAACAACAGTTAACTACCCCGCAACTATTTTAATTGAGCTTAAATAAAAAAGTTTAAAACACTAATGGTTTTTTTTATTTTATTTTTATATTTCCTTAATAAAAAGTTTTGCAATTTTTATTTTTTATTTCATGTGAATTAAATCCTTTAAAGATTTTTATTATAACTGAAAATTAAAAAAATTATAATATTACAAAATGGTATTAAATAATCTTAGAAATAGATATTGTCGTGTTTGTAAAAAGAGAGGTGATAGTATTGGCTCAAAAAAAGTTTTTGAAATTAAAAATGAAAATATGATAGATAAAGTTGTATATCATTTTAAACTTGATCGAATAAATCTTATACATGATCAAATAATGTGTTACAAGCACTTAGGTGTTTGACAGACAGTAAGTGGCTTAAAGATGAATATTTAAATAATATTTCATCTTTCAAAAACTCCGTAAACTTAAATAAAACAATGATACAAGATTTATTTAAAAGTTTTCGGTCTAGAGATTCAAAAACTGCATCTATATTTGCAAAATTTAGCGAAATAAATAACGTAACAACTGAGTTTTGTTTCCAAAATACCGGTTTTACCAAAGATGAATTTTTATATTTGGTAAGTGAATTAAAACAATTAAAAACTCTTTCAAACGTTCGAAAGAGCAAGCTCTTGCCGTTTATCTCTTTTGGTTAAAGACTGGTCTTGATCAAAATTCAATTGCGTGTTATTTTGGTTTGTCGTGTCGGTCAAAGGTTCAAAAGTATTGCCATCAGATAAGAACCTCACTTAGTGTTGATTTTGTTGAAAAGAATTTAGGAGCAAAATCACGATCACGAAAAGATTGGCTCATAAATAACACAGACATGATCAAAGATTTGTTTGACTTAAAAGAAGAACAGCTAGCAATTATAGCCGATGGTACTTATCTATTCTGTGAAAAAAGTTCTAATAATACTTTACAACGAAAACTGTACAGTGGGCAAAAAAAAAGACATTTAGTTAAGCCTTTTGTAGTATGCACTGCAAATAGTTTTATTATTGATGTTTATGGACCTTTTGCTGCAACTATGAATGACGCAACTATATTAAGTAATATTTTAAAAACCAAAAACGATATAAGAGAACTAGTTGAGCCCAATGATTTATTCATTTTAGATAGAGGTTTTAGAGATATCGTTGATGAATTGAAAACTACATATAAAGTGTTTACGAAGATGCCAACTTGTTCTAAAAGTCAGTTAACTAGTTTACAAGCGAACCATACTAGGTTTGTTACAAAATGCAGATGGGTTATCGAGGCTGTTAATGGTACATTTAAACAATCTTTTAAATCTTTGGAAAAAACAAGGAATACAATGCTTCCTCATATAATGACTGATGTTAGAATAGCTGCCTCTTTGATTAACTGTTTTCATGTAAAATATATATCCGATAAAAAAGACGGTAAAGATATTGCAATTCTAATGAAAAATGAAATTAATTTCAAAAATGATTTGGAATCATATATTTTGAACACAAAAAATAAAGGTAAAAAGCATTTTGAACCAATCGACGCGTTAGATTTAAACGATTTCCCAAAGTTTTCTATAGATGATATGCGAAAATACATCACATTTGGTAGCTATCAAATAAAGCAAAGTTACAGTTATCTAGCAGAACATTTAAATAAAAATGGAAAATATATTATTTTGATTGATAAAAATATTCAACAAATTCAAAATTATAAATTGATTTCCGCTGAAATTCAGTCAAGACATTCAAACGCGACTAAGTATAGGTTATATATTAAATACTTGCCAAATATCGATAGTCCAGAATCAGTATTGTCTTGGGCATGCGGGTGTTTTTCTGGTTTAAGAACTTGTGGTTGTTGTAGTCACATTGCTAGCATTATACTTTATTTATGTTGTGGAAAGTATTTAGAAAAACTTCCTAATCCAGGCTCAAGGCTTATGTTTTTTTTACAAAGTGAAAATGAATCAGAATGCGAAT